GACCCCGTGTACATAATTTCGCTCCACCACATGTACCACATGAGGTGTGAATGACAATAAAGAAACTCTGACTCTGACTGACTCTGAAGACTTCCATTCTAGTTACACTCGGCTGTAAATCCCACACCCTGTCTGTTTGTGGGAGGACTTGTAGATGTCTAATGCAAGTCCAAAAGGAACAGTCTATAAATCGTTGTGTAAAAGTGAAATTGATGTGTTGTTTTCCTTCCTGTGATTAGATGGCAGCTATTTAAAGATGGTGAAACAATGCATGCATGGATTGCCATCATGCCACGCGTTTGTTATCCCTCCAATCGTGAGTCGTACACTCTGATTCATGCCCCTGATTGAGAACCTTTCCACTGTTTGAGCCTATTTAAAAAGTCTACCCAGAGGACAGTGATTCAATTAGATGAGTAATAAAAACAAAACCTTGCCTGCTCTTTGCGTGAGCTGTATCCAGGCATGACTCACATACCTGCTCAAGATTAAAATGAATGAAAACAGGTCATTTGATCACACCGATATGTGATGTTTTATACAAAGCAGCTGGTTTAACTAGATTACATGATTCTATGTGTCGCAACAGCTCAACGTTGAACACTGAGTGCCATTCAAATGCTCCTGCTCCATTAAAACCTAAATGTTCTGCCAGATTAGGTATTTACAAAATTAGATCCTAATCTGTGTGTTTTCCCTTTTTTATTTAAACCTTTATTTTACCAGGAAAGAAATACATTGAGATTATTAATCACATTTACAAAGATTTTCTGGGAAAATCATTATAAAGACATGCATGTCCACTGCTGAGAAGCAAAGGCGATCGCACAGAATGTGATGCTGATATTAGATTTATAAATTTTAAAAGACTGTTTAGAAATATGTGTATATTTAAATAAGAAACTAAAGATCCTGTGGGTGTTGCATTTGTAATTTGCCTTACAGCTCAGCTCCCTATTCACTACAATGGACCGGCACAGAGTCTGCAATACTGCTGATGCTGCACCAATCCGTCTGTCAGTCTCACGCTCAATTCTTCCCTCAATCGTGAACAAAACCCTGAGATACTTGAACTTTTCCACTTGAGGCAGAACCTCACCCTTGACCTGAAAACAGTAAAAAAACAACAAAAAAAAAAAACACAGAGGTGGAACACCTGGAGAGCTGGTGCAGGAAGAAAACCTTCACATCAATGTGACGAAGATGTGGATTTTAGACACAGCAAACACACTTCTTCCTGCACCTAGAGATGTAGATGTCTGTGATGGTGGGGAGACTGACTCCAACATCTTCTGTGCAGCCTTCACCACTCTCTGCAAAGCTTTTCTTTCTGCAGCTGTGCAGCCTCCGTGCCACACGTTGATGCTGGAGCACAGGATGCTCTCCACTGCACACCTGTAGAAGGAGGTGAGGACTGAGCTTCTCAGACCAGCTCATCTCAGCTTGGCCAGTAAATAACCAGTTAAAAACTAATGAGTTATCTACACAAGAAAAGTAGTTTAATGTAAAAAAAAAAAAAATGCTGTTATGACACACTTGAAACACTTCTATGGGTTTGTGGTCAAATAACACAAATCCAGAAGGTTAAACAAACTGTTTCGAAATTACTTTTGTTTTTCTTTTGTGGATCTCCTGTTTGTTATCTGGAGTGTGATAATGTGAATTTCCCTTTTTGTAATAACCAAGAGACAGTTCATTTTGTAAAAATGCACACAGAAGTGTTGCTGCTGTTAACATCTTTTTATTTTAATACAGCAATGTTCACTCAGGTCATCTGGACGGTTTCTTTTTTTTGTGCTGACACGTTTCGTCCTTCATCCAAAGGACTTCCTCAATCTGAGAAACCACCAAACAAAACTGATTCATTTTCAGGGACAGGGTGGGACCTCACTGACCACACTGCAGGACCATGCTGCTAACAGAACCACGCTGCTAATAGCATAGCTAACAGTATCATGCTGCTAACAGGACCTTGCTGCTAACAAGACCATGCTGCTAACAGGACTAGCTGCTAACAGGACCAACTCTTAACAGGACCATGCTGCTAATAGGACCATGTGATAAAAGGGCCACACTGCCAACTGGACTATGCTACTAACAGGAATACACTGTTAACAGGACCATGTTGATAACAGAGCCATGCTACTAACAGCATAGCTAACAGTACTGTGCTGCTAACCAGATGGCACTGACAACAGGACCACTCTGCTAACTGGACCATGCTGCTAACAGTACTTTGCTGTTAATAAAACCATGCTGCTAACAGTACCATGCTGCTAACAGGACCATGAAGCTAACAGGACCATGCTGCTAACTTTACCATGAAGCTAACAGGACCACACTGCTAACAGTACCATGCTGTTAACATAACCCTACTGCTAACAGGACCGTGATG